TTTTTTTTTTTTTTAATTATTAAAGAACTATAAGCTCATTACAGAAAATGTGGAAAACACAAGATCTTTGGCATTGAGAAGGATTCATTTTGAATTCTTCTCGTATCTCCTACTTTACAAATTTGGGATGCATTTGTGCACACTCTCCTTAGCATTCTGTTTCTATCCAGATACATTTATTTTGAACGTCTGGCCTCAAGTTAATGATATTTTGCTCAAATTTTACTGGTCTCTTGAGGTTGTTTTTCACAAGAAAGTCAGATTAAAAAAAATTTAATCCTTCATAAGAATCACTGTGTGGTCCATACGGAAGGAGGAACACGAGCGCCTCGTGGACACGCGGTTGCTGGGCAGGTGGCCGGGTCTGTGGCCTGGTTAGGGACGAGCTTTCCCGCACTAGCCTCACGGCAGGGTACTGACACGCAGCCTAGCAAAAATGCCAAATTACTGCACACCAGGAGCCTTCAGGTCACTCCTGAAATGTGGAAATCGCAAACTTTAAAATCAATGAACACTGGGGGTCTCTTGGACTGGAAAATGAGGGAAAAAAGATCTGTTCAAAAAGAAACGGGTAACTATGGCTCGGAGCAGGAATGGACGAACAGAGGATGGAGCTGGAGGGACCTTTCACAGGACTTTATACCTTGAGTATATAACATATTAGTAGAAAATCTCCCGCCGTAATAACAATGCAACTGTCAGCGCCCTGTGGGGTGACTGTTACCATGTGAGTGTGTTTGTGAAATATCATCTGTATGGGCTGGTTGCAACAGCACCCAGCAAGCAAAACAGCTTCTCTGAAACAGCCTTTGCAGTGAGACTTCCGCAGCCGCACGCACCTCTGTCCATCTCTGCCACCCTAACATGCTCACGCACACCGACCATCTCATTTGTCAGCGTGCTCCCTTTATTATCCATTTCAGTCTGTTTCCCTTTGCAACGTTATGACTTATAACACTTTAAGAGTACTGAATTACTCCCCTTCTTTGAACTTACAGTCTTCCCAAAGGCTCAACAAACTAGAGATTTCTAAAAACACTTATATACTAATAAGTTGTCACATTTCCTCCATAATGCAAAGAAAGTGATGAGAAAGGACCATTCAGCAGAGAGTTAGAGGGAAGTGACAACAACAAAAAAAACGCAAAAAAAGGTGGCATAACAGTACCCACGGCAGTAATAGCACATGCACGCATATGCACACAATGGAACTGCTCCTGTTTCTGTTTCTCCTCAGAACAACATGGATTTAGCCCAGTAGTCAGTCCTGTCACCTGACCGTGCTCCACTGAGGCCTAACAGTTCCTTTCAAGCTTCCCAACTCCCACCTCACTGGCAAAATCATTCATCTTACTGTAAATCCCAATTTGCCACACACAAAATAGGTTGAAATACATCTTTTGCTAATTTATGGAGAGTCATTAGGATTTGCAAGTCTCCCTTTGCTGTTCTGTGAGGATCAGTGTTAAATATTTTTAAAATATCAAAATTCTCCTGAAATTATCATGAACATACTTCTATCAGACACTGTGGTTACTTAGAGCATAGAAGTATTGAACTTGAGGGATTAATAACCTCATCTCACACCTCCCCACTCTAGTCAACCACAAAATTTTCCCTGATAATTATAATATGCCAAAAACGGACCTTTTCTAGTCATCAAGAACTTTTAGAAACGCTTTAGAATACTTCAAACCCTGTCTTAACGCTTCATCCACTCCAATCCGTAACTTTTCTAGAGTAAAGCCACTTTAGCAAGCTTACCTGAACTGAAAGATTCTAAGACCCTGAGATAAGTCATCAAACTATACATGTATCATTTTATTTCCCATAAGCAGTGAGTACTGAAGAAAAAGAGAAAATGAAGTTTGCAGAAAAGCATCCTTTTAGGTCTACCAAAAAATGTATTCAAGTGACTGCTAAGCACCTACAAGTGTCACAGGCGGTGGTAGGCTTAACAGGCGTGCTGAGAGCCAGCACGGCTGGCAGAAGACAGGCAAGTTCAGTATAGGCCCCGACACGTGATGCCACACAGGGTGCTAGAAGCCCACATTATTAATATCAATTTACTTTCATCTGTGCCTTGTTCACAAAAATTCATCCACGAAAATAAGATAAAAGAAGAAACGAGCTAATGGGAAGTGTGGGAGTACACAGGAAGGTACACAACCAGTAGGTATGAGGGGAGGAAGGAGGTCGGGGTGCTCTGGCTGAGTGCTAAGACGGAGCAGAGCCTCTGTGTGGGTAGAGGGGAGTGTGTGCCCAGAATCCTGCAATCAGCAGCATAGGCAACAGCAGAGGCAAGGTGGGGACAGATGAGAGATGGCATGTCTGGAAATTTCTTCAAAATACCTCAGCAAAAAAAGTGAGCAATCATGTACGGGTTAAGCTATACCCAAGTGCAGCCAGGTACAACCAGATATGCACACTTCAGGGTGGTCGGTAAGCGTTTGAATTAGGAAGCCCACATTTCGGAGGGGGCTACCACAGTGCTTCTGAACTCCATGTCTCAATCAACACCTCTCGTTATGATAGTAAGCCCAGTGAATGTTAGAAATGGCTTTTTATTGATGAGATTAATGACATTAAATAGCATGATGAATATTAGAAATGGGTTGTCACTGGTAAAACTACACATACCCGAGATGAGTGGATTGGCTAAACTACCGTAGATGGAATTTTCACCCTTACTTGAGCAGGATGTAAGTATAGTCTGTTGCCTTCACCCTGTATAATTCCTATGAGGTTTGTGTATCCAGCCTAAACTCCAAGGATTCTAGTTGCCTTATGTTGGCCACAGAAATAATGGACTCTTGCTTCTGGAATAGTAACATGTCTGCTTTTCTGCTAAGTGGCGGCTGGTGCACCACAGAGGACAAAGAGCTGGCCTTCACTGAACTTACAGTCATACAAACTGTTTTTAGTGCTTGCTTGCTAATAAATGTTTCTATACATGGTGGAGTTTTATTTGGGATTTGTTTAATTATCACTTGGCAGTAAGGTTACGTGGGGAAGAGCTAAACTTAACCCACCTCAACTTGTTCAGTGGCTACTGTTAACAAAATAAACAAGAAACCCACTCCCCCAAATTATTTAAGACTAGTTTGGTTCAGAACTATTTGTGACTCCTCTACATTCTGATGCCATCCTAAAGCATTTGAACTTCATTCTGTGGTCAACATGGAGCCACCGAAGGATTGTGCTGTGACCTTTTGCATTTCAGGAGAATGAATGGAAGGAGACAAGGTAGGAGGCGGGGAAGCTGGTTGGAGGCTGCAGCAGGAAGGCAGACCCGCCGTGACAGTGGTCTGAAAGGAGCCGGTTGGACTGAGATGACTGACCAGATGACAAGGCGTAAACTGAGAGGATCTAATAAGAAACTGGAGGTAGACACAAGCATGGAAAGAGCTCCTGGGCTTCTAGAAAGGACGGCCTGTTGGTGGGCAGTGCAGCGCCAAGCCGTGGAATGCAGGCTCCCAGTTGGGAAGGCTGTTGACTCCAAGGAGGCAGTCAGCATGCCCACGTGGAAATGACACTGGGAGTAGGGAACAGGATATGACCACGTGAAAAGACCTCTTTTGGTAGTGTTGCTGCTCACAATTTATGTCCAGTACAATCCTGTAACTTTCTTGGTAGAAGCAAGACTTTCCAGCCCCAACAGTGACTGTGTGATATGTCCGTGTGGTTGGCAGCTATGGTGACAGCTGAAGTGCTTTGCATAGGGGGTGACACAAGGGGCGTGCATAAGCAGGGTCGATCTGCACTTGGGAGAGGGCATCTCAAAGACAAAGTGACTTGGCAAAGCACAGCTGAACAAACACAAGGCACAGACAACACCCTCAGGCCCAAATGGGATTCAGACAGTGGGTCCAGGGGACAAGAGGTCCTGTTAAAACCCAGTGCCCAATAAGTAGAAGAAAACCATGTTCTTCTGATGAAACAAAGTTTTTGAAATACTAAAAATAACGAAAACTTCAGAGTTTTGTGACTATTGGGCAAAATAACAAAAAACACAAAAACTGGAAAGCATCTAAATCAAAATTCCCTTTAAATATTTCTCCCCCGCCAAGAGTACTACTCAAATCTCTTCATAGCAACAATACTGTAACCATGAAAATATCTTCTTTGCGGTTTTGTAAAACCTATGGAAACTTTTCTAATATACATAAGAAAATAGTAAATATAGGGGAGTTGGAGGAGTCTCCAGAAGCTACAGCAACTTATCTTCCTCCTTGGGGCAAGACTGGTGACCCATAGCCGAAGCTGGTGTGTCGGACAGGATGCGGTTCTCACCTGACAGTCCAGGAGCAGCTTCTGGACCGAGATCACACTTTCAGGTTTTTGTAACATTTTCAGCCTCTCTTCTTGCACTTCCATCCAGTTGTTCAAAATCTGTATCTTGTTCTCATTCTCAGTGATACTCTCCAAAAGTTGCTCTAAATGTTGTATCTATAAATGATGAATAAAAAAATTATGAGAAAGTTTTATTTTAAACTACATGCTTTAAAATGTAAATGCCATGATGTTCTTTTTAAAAGAACAATGTTTCTTCTCAAATTTCTAATATGTCACATAATAGGATGCTTCAATAATTTTTGAAATAAAGATTCATAAATCAGGAAATAAAGCTCCCCTTTACAAAAAATCTCATGTTTAAAGTGAAAGCTAATCTGCTGACAGAGCTGGCCATTTTGGAGTTTTATAATATCTGGACAAAATAAAATCATGTTGCTAATATTCAATATTTATCATTGAGTTATCTATTAATATATGCAAAGTATAAGAAACTTTTCTTGCCCCAAACTCTCATTAGAGTTGCTTAAAATTTTTTATATCAATAATATCACGATTCATCTATTTAATAAATAATTATTGCCCTCAATGTCTGTGATTCTTCTCATTTCTAATACAATTTTTATTAGGCTAGAATCATGGTACGTATAAAAAAAATTTTTTTTCTTTTTTTTTTGAGACAGGGTCTTGCTCTGTCACCCAGGCTAGAGTGCAATGGTGTCACCATAGCTCACTGAAGTCTCATATTCCTGGGCTCAAGCAATCAATTCTCCTGCCTCAGCCTCCTGAGTAGCTAGGACTACAGGCCCAAGCCACGATGGCTGGCTAATTTTTCTATGTTTTTGTACAGACAGGGTCTCACTTTTACTCAGGTGGTCCTGAATTCTTGGCCTCAAGAGATCCTCCCACTTTGGTTTCCCAGCGTGCTAGAATTATAGGCATGAGCCACCGTGCCTGGCCTCATAAAAATGTTTATATTCTTTTTTCCAATGTCATAAGCACCCACTGTGTCATGACTTACGGTGATACTAATTTTAAAAGGCTGCCTAATGTTTCATCAAATGGACGCAGTATAATTTAGTTATTTCTCTAGAGTTGGAAATTAAGGCATTCTACATTCTCACCAGTATAAATAATTTTGAGCTGAACAGTTTATGCACAATCGTTTTCTTTTTTGAAGGACTATTTACTTAAATGTGTAAGAGGTGACCTGCTTGGTTATAAGATGATTATTATGGTTCTTTAAATTTTACAAATGCTTTCCAAAAGAGTATTTAAGTCAAGCAATGTATGAATGTGACAGCTTTCAGCTTTAACTTATTAAATTTTTCTAATTGAATAAGTGTATGTTATATAATGTTTATTTTGAATATCCGATAATTGAAGTTGACATCTTTCCATGTTTATTTGCTAACTGGAATTTCCTCTTCTGTGAATTGTCTGTTCATGTTCTTTCTCCATTTATGTACTTGAATCTTAATTGTATAAATCCATTTGTATGCATTCCACACACAGTAAACAAATCAACCAATTGTCACTGCCAATATATATAAATACTAAATATTTTTAAGGAATAAGTTTTCCTAATCTCTTCAAGAGTCATGGAGTGAAAAATCTACCAAAAAGCCACATAAATTTTTTTCTTCCTTTTAGTCATCTTTTCTAAGCTGAAATAGCTTTGTCCCTTCTGAACATCTGCTTTCACAGAAAATGTCATAATCTCTGATCATTTAGTAGCCTGACATAACATTTGACATCTTCTTAAATAAAATTTCTCCTCTTCACTTGCCTAACTCAATTTCCCACTAAGAAAACTCAACAGAATATAAAAACTATTTCATACTCTCATATGCACCAATGGAATGCTAAAACACAGGATTTATGAAAGGTCTATATAATTGAGATGATTATTGGGCTTAACTGTAAATCAACTATCTGAATGTCTTCTTGGATTTTTCAGAAAGTGGTATCTTACAAAGGCCAAACCACACATTCATCTGTGACCCAGAAACACACCTTTCTGTTTAGTGTTCCTTGTACCCGGTGCCACTGGTGGTTCATCTCCCCCAGGTGCTCTGCAAACTCCGTTCTTTCATAGCGCTTGCTTTCTACATCACAGGTGCTTAACTGAAGTAGTGACTGGTTAACAAAGTCAACTATCCACTGTTTATAGTCCATTTCCATTCTAAACTCCTAAAACAAACAAGCAAGCAAAAGTAAACACCCAAAGCCTAAAACGAAGTCAGTTAGAGGAACTGGATTTCCTTTCATGCACTCTAGGGGGCGCCAAGCTCTCATCCGTTAATTAAGGGGCACCTGTCAGGAGTTACTTTCCACCCTCCTCCCACCCTGCGTCTGATTTGAGTGGAATTTAATTCTTTTAGGGAATTACACATTCTTGGGAACAGAGAAACTCACTGTTTTCAAACAGGCTGAAAAGTCTAAGGGCACACTACGAATGGCAGCCCAAAATCAGTACCCAGGGTGCGACAAAGGGTTCCTGTGAGAGGCTGCCTGACAGTTGTGCTGGAATTCTGGGCCATCCTGAGGGCTCACAGAAATGACTAGATTGGAAATAGGAAGTTAAGGCCCTCCCAGAAAACCCTTTGAGGTACTTTGCCAATTTAGGCAGCTTCTCTATTCTTTTGGGGACAGTCTAGGCCTCCCAGGGTAGTTTGGGTGGCTGTAAGTTCCACACCAATCCCAAATCTACCCAGGGCAACCATGTTCATCAAGCCTGCCACCTGTTGAGTTTGATCCTAGCAAGTTCTAGCACCTCCTCTGGAGACGTGTCGGGGGGAAACTACGTGGTACGTGCTAGGTTATTAAAGCCTGCAAGAATATACACATGTAGACCTTTTAAAGATTCTACTACTCGCTGAAGTTAGGATGTGATGGTACGTAAAAACAAAATCCTCTGCTAACGTCATGCCTGGTGACCAAGCCACTCATCCAGCTGCTCCACCAGCCTGTGAGGTCTTCAAAAGCAATGACCAAGCTCATCATTCATCTCTGTATTCATAGCGTCCAAAACACTGCCTGGCATACAATAAATGTTTGTGTGTGGCTTGTTAAATGTTAATTAAATCTACTCGAAATTAAATATCACACAGTAGGCCATATTCATATTTATTCAAAGGATATCAACTTTTTCTCACTCATTCTCTTACTCAAAGAATATGTATTAACACCTATTAGATGCCAGGTATTGGGCTAGGTGTGTTATTTTAGGGAGGAGAGGACAACTCCTGCTCTCAAGAAGCATAGTCAAGGTGGGGAGATAGACAAGCAAACAAATAATTATAATATCGTGTGATAGGATCACAGAGACATCTAATCCAGGAAAGTCACCTATTCTGGCTGGGAAAGTCCGGGGTAGATTTCCAAATGAGGAGATACTTGACCTAACTCTTGAAGGATGACTAAAAGCATTTATTTAGCTAAAAGTGGGGTACTGACATTCCAGGCCAAAGGCACGCATGCACGTCGCATGAAGAAGAGCACCAGAAACAGCTGGGACTGAAACTCACTTGGTCTAGCCAGGATCCAGGGTTTATGTGGGGGAATGACAAGATGAGACTGGGAGGCAAGGAGGGGCCCGAGTCTGTTAAAAGCTTGGGTTGTCCTGTGCTGATGAGAGGTACCGAAGGAATTTAAATGAAAAAAGAACAAGTATACTAACTTATCTCTTTAGAATCCTCCACCATCCCATTTCTTACCCCTAGAATTAATTTTTCTAAATTATATCCTACATGTCTTTGTTCAGAATTTCCCCTCCAGCTGATTTGCCTTCTTATTTAATGAAAAGACTGCTGCTCCTTTTGCATAATTACCTTGTGCTTCTGTAGAAGATTTTTAACTTCAGACACAGAACCTGGTGGACGGGCAGAGTCCTCATCTGCAGTTTGATGCTCCACATTGTTCATCCAGCTAATCATTTCTGTGATTGCTTCACGAGATGGCAATTTCTCCATCTGAAGCTGCAAGAACAAAATGATTTCCATTTAATTACCTGCAGTTAACAAAATGAATCGGGGCATCACTAAAGATGATACCTGGTTTGATAAAAGGTCTTGCTTCATAATTATGCAGGCTACTCACAAAAACAAACCCAGCATTCAAGCTTAGAATAAGCAACCCCAAAACAATGACAGTGACCTTCACATAAACTAACACAGTGGCACAGATAAACTGAGAAATAAAGCAATTAAGCCTGATTTCTCTCTTAAGAAAGATCTCATTGGAAGAGAGTTCAGTAATTAAGACCCTATATTCAGTGGTGCCAGAGAAAAATAGGCAGTGTCAATGAAAATTATTGAGTCGGAGAAATAATTTTAAAAGAGTTTTGAGCTAACAAGGGAACGCTAATTCAAATGCTGGGTCTTTAAATACTTACCTGGTGAAGTTTTTCTTGAATATCTGGAAGTTGAGTAATGAGCATTGTCCATTTTTGTTCAAACTGTGCTAAAGATGCTCTCAGTGTAGCTGTATCAGCTTCTTTAAGGTGAAGAAGTTGGTTCCCAGTACTTATAACGGCAGTCTTCAAGGAGGACTTTTCATCAACTTCTTTTGAAAACTCCTAAAGGAAATAGTTTTAAAATTTAAATATAGCCAAGAGTCAGAATAATTGTTTAGAGTCCAAAACTAAACATAGTAAATATGTGAATATGTATATATATGTACATGTACTCCTTTTCTTACTAAGTGTGAGGCATTATTCCAGGCATTAGATACATAATGGGGAGCAAAAGAAATGGGTTTCATGCCCCTAAAGAAGCTTATAAACCTAGGGGATTAATATTTTTTTAAATAGCCAAGTCATTATTTTAATGGTAAGTTTTATAAGAAGCTATGGAAACCAACACAAAGTTCATATTAAATGAACTACTTGCAACAAATTTTAATATTTGAAATCTTTCCTATGTATATTTTAAAAGGTTCTTTCAAGTATATTTTAAAAATATTCACATTTTAATACCAACTAAATAACCATAGGTACAACCATAGCTACAAAATATGGAAAATGGAAAAAAGACTAAGGGAAAAGACTAGAAGGTTTCATAAGTACAATTCATATTATAAAAGTAATCCCCCCCAACAAAATATCTCAAAACAACGTAGCAAAAAAACTTCTTAGTAGAAATATTTTGTATACAATTTAAAACCATGCATTAACTTTAACATTTAAAAATTAATAATCCTATAAGATTGTTTTTGTTTGGGGGAAGATATTTTCTGCATTTGTCAGAGCAAGTTTTTAATTTATATATATATTTTGTAAGGTCAATGAAAAATATACTTTATTATAAATGTATAAATGAACAATATAAACAAATAGCCCTAGGTTTGAAGAACACAGCTGCCATTAGCCCAAGTCTTATCCATTTTCCACAAATAAATATGGAGACTATCACATCAACACTGATTTCTGACCAATAATTATCCAGCATATTCTACTACAACTTACAAAGAAATTATTTATGTTGCTTCTGATTGTATCCAAGTCCTGAGACACATTGAGGGACTGTTCTTTCCAGTAATTCAGAGTTTGCTGAGACGATTCCAACCACTTGGTTAACTCATCTGAATCCCTGTTATAACTAACAGGAGCACAGTGAGAGAAAAAGGAAATTAGAACCGAACTGAGGATGACATGCATCACCAGCATATTTCCTTATTTTATTGCATATTTCCTTGTGGTCAGCCCTAACTTCAGAAAATCATGACATTTATAAGGATTATATCATGTTTTATACAATGCCCCAAATCCGATGCTCTTGGCATTTTTCTAGGATTCTCGTTATGGCTAATCAAGAACAAAGAGGCATTTTAAAGTCTAAATTTTTTTTAATTTCTTATTATAGCTACACAAAAGTGTATCCATGGATAAGGACAGAGATTATTTTTATTCAAATGTCCTTTGTAAATTTGTTTATAGTAAAAATGTAGCCAGTATTTATATAAATTGCATAATAGCAAACTGTTGTTGGCTGACACCAACATATTCATCTGGGTGATGAAAATACCCAGACAAAATTCTGCCCTTCTAGTGACCTTTAAACTTCTTTAGATTAAGAGGCAGGGATGAGAATGATGTTTAAACGTTCTATGTTCTCCACCTTCCTTTGGTTTAAGATTACACCAACTAAGCACAACAAATTCTCTGAAGAGCTCAAAAGACTTTTCAAACTAGTCTCTTAGCTAAAATCATTTCTTTTAAATTTTAAAATGTTTGGAAGAAGGCGGGAAAGAACATCATCATGGTATAAAAGTAACATTTTTATTATTTTATAACACAATTCCTAGTTTCCCAAGAAATATATAAATGATCCCCAGCAAACTGATTACATATTATCCTGTGTCTAGCAAACTGATATCGGAGACTCTAGATCCTGATTAGCCCAGAAGAAGGACCCAACTGCTTTAGATTGTCCAAAAAAAAAAAAAAAAAAAGTACAACAGGGGCCAGCATGGAAAATTTAGCTGAGGTCTTTCTCCGCAGCAAAATCTGAAGCCAATCAATCCCTAGGTAGACAGACCTGAGCAGATGCTTGAGAAGTGTCTGCAGTCTGTGGAGTTCGTGGTCAATTTTCTTGTTCAGGGACAACCACTCCTCTTCCAGTTTTGCAATCTGGCCCTCTAATTCAGGACAGCTCACAGACGCCACCAGCTGTTTGCCCTCATTCAGAGTTTGGCAAAGCCGGGCATGCTTTCCACGAATGTTTCTTTTTATTTGCTAATAAAAAAGTCACAGAATGAATTAATTAAAAAACAAAGCCTGCCAATGTATTTGCAAATACTTCATTAAAAACCTCCACTAATTAGTGGCTATTGACGAAACATTAACATCTTCCTAATCTTCAAGAGTGTAGTCTGACTGGAGACAGGATTAATGGTTTATTGATCACCTCTCAAGATGACAGTGTCCATCCAATGCATTTCAATGCACAGATTCAACTCTATAGATGTATGGCATGAAAACAAAACCCCAACATTCAAAGATTTAGATCCGACAGTTAATTCCTCCATCTAACGACAAAAACAAAAAATGAGCTGGCAGCCTATAGGCCACATTTAGCTTGCAGACAGATTTTGTGCAACCTAAAGATTATTTTGAAAATCAGGAAATTTTACACAGCAATCAGGATTTCCAGTGTCTCTGGAAACAGTGGAAGATCTAGCCACTCTTGGTCTGCATTCTCACATGGCAGAGGATGGCCAGAGTCCAGCAGAGGCCCCCTCTAGGAGGACCTACTCCCTTTAGCACCCCCCTAACCTTAGTCCCCACCACTCCTGACTGCAGACCCAGCCAGCCTTCCTTATTTGTGTTCTCCTGCCGGGCCCCTCCCTGGAGGCATTTCAGATTGTGATCTAGACATATGAAGGGGACAAATAAGAAAACATTTCTCCATTATCCCTTAGGTGCAAATACTAGGGCGAAAAATCATTTCTAGAGTCTTCTGAATGTAAAGAATCAGGAGGGAGAAAGGAAGAGAACCTTAGAGGAATAAATTAAAACATAGCACATCATTAATCTAACTTCATGAAAAGAAAAATAGAATTCCTCACACGTGTGAATATAGCAACCACTTCGAGAGAAGCCTGTCTAAAGGCAATTATCTTCCACAGATGGGTTCAGCTAATGCCACTAACCCTGATAGTTGTTTAATCTTAAATAAATTATCAAAATAGAAGTTTTCCAGGCCGGGCACGGTGGCTCACGCCTGTAATCCTAGCTCTCTGGGAGGCCGAGGCCGGCAGATTGTTTGAGCTCAGGAGTTCAAAACCAGCCTGAGCAAGAGCGAGGCCCCGTCTCTACTAAAATTAGAAAGAAATTAATTGGACAACTAAAAATATATAGAAAACATTAGCCAGCCATGGTGGCACATGCCTGTAGTCCCAGCTACTCGGGAGCCTGAGGCAGGAGGATCGCTTGAGCCCAGGAGTTTGAGGTTGCTGTGAACTAGGATGACGCCACGGCACTCTAGCCCGGGCAACACAGTGAGACTC